AGTCTCTAAGAGACTAGGCCATATTAATTCATTATACTGTAGTCTGTAGGGTGAATTCTGCCTGCAACAACTCCAAAGGTGAGTTTGTTTCTTCTTTTGGCAGTTATATAGTTATATGTTTTTAAATGAGCTCGTGTGAGTTCTTTTGATTTTCAGTTAAGGACCTCTCCAGTGTTCTAAGGAGCAATGAAACCAGTTCAAAGACTAAAGTGAATTAGTCCAAGTACATAATTTATAATTAAGTATGAATCAGCTTAAAAAAAACAGACAAAAGTGACCTGATGCAATCACTACTACACATCTGAAAGTTGGAGAGTGACTAAAAATAACAGAATAACTGATGCCTCTGAACTCCAGTGTTGGAGAAGAGTGCTGAATATCTCATGGACCAGGAAAAAGAATAAGTATGTCTTGGAGAAAATGCAACCAAGGCACTCCTTAAAGGCAAGGATGGTGAAAACTCGTCTCACAGACTAGGGGCATGTTGTTAGGAGGGGCCAGCTCTTGGAAAAAACGATGATGCTTGGTAAGGTGGAGGGTTAGCCAAAGAGACCAACAAGATGGACTGACAGTGACTATGACAATGGGCTCAAATATATGAGAGATCTGAGGATGGCACTGGACAGAGCAGGGTACAGATTTGCTGATCACAGGGTCACTAGGGGTTGTGACTGACTCGATGCCACCTAACAATATTGTTTTAACTATTCAGACTTTCTTACCTTTCCACATATATTTGAAGATTCATTCTTCAATTTCTGTAAAGAAGAAAGGTACAGGAAGATTCTTTCTATAAAGAAGCTAGAATTTTGATCAGCATTGCATTAAATCTATAGATCACTTTGGGTAGTGGTTTATTATTTTTTTTACGATCAACTTAGAATTCACATCGTAGAACATTGTTCTACTTCAATCTTCTGTAATCCAGTCTGTCGTGTTTCATTTTCATTGTGTAAGTCTTTCAGTTCTCTCGTTAGATTTATTCCTGGGTCTTTTATTCTTAGATGCTACTGTAAATGGACTTTCCCCCTCATGTTCCTTTCAGGTATTTTTCTGTTTGTGTACTGCTCTGGCAGTTTTCTTGTGGACTCTTAGGGATTTAGAGATTTGGGATGCAGGATCACATCCTCTCTGACTGAACAGAGATTATTTTACTTTTCGATCTGAATATCCTTTCTTATTCTTATCTTTCTGCTCTGGCTCAGACTTCCAGCACAGTATTTAACAGAAATAGTAAGGAAAGCTGGCCTTGCCTCACTCACAATTTCAAAAGGGAAGTCATCAGTCTCCATGGAGAATGTTGGTTGTTGGCTTTTCAAACACATTCTAATCATAAAGGAAACTTCCTTTCTATTTCAACTTTTACATCTTCGGTTTTGGTATCAGGCCTATGATTACACCATGGAATGAGTGAAGAGAGCATTTCTCTTCTCTTTTGGAAGTGTTTAAAACATTATTGGTGTAAATTCTTCTCTAAATGTGTGATTTAATTCTTCAATGACATCATCTGGTCCAATGCATTTTTAATGGGGTTTTTGACCACTGATGCATTCTCTTCACTTGTTATAGGTCTGTTAGGCCAGTATGAGGAGGTTCTACAGAATTCTCAATGCCTTGCTTCTACGGCACCAGCAGCTGGATTTGAATCTCCAGCTTTTTGGCACATCTTGCCTCAAAGTTTTTAAAACCATCAAACTGGCAACTCCCCAAGATATATCTGCAGTCCTGAAACTGGGCCCTGAACTAGTCTTCAATACACACCTGTCAATTCAACCTGGTTGTCTATCTGGCACGTTAAATTTTATAAGCCAAAGAACTCAAGCTCCAGTCTAAGCCAACTCTTATCAGGTGAGGACTACCCCATGTTCTCTCGAGCCAAAGCCTGAAGTCCTGATTCCTTTCTTTCAGTATTTAACCAAATACCACCAAACTAATCTCAGGTGCTGTCCATCAATTTTGACTCACAATGATTCCATGTTGTACAGTTGAACTGTGTTCTTCAAGGTTTTCAAGGCTGTGACCGTTCAGAAGCAGACCACCAGATTTTTGTTCCAGGGAATTTAATTCCAGGTGGGTTCCAACTGCCAAACTCAAAGTTAGGAGCCAAGCACTTGCTCGTGTGCGCCACCTAGAGACCACTTGTGCTCACCTCCAAACTGAAATAATTGTGTAGGATCTACCCTCACAATTTATCCATAAATCAAATCACTTCTCTCTACAAGCTTCATGACCAACATGCGTCAAGCCATCATCACCTCACACCTGGATGCCTGCAACAGCCCCAAGTCTCCTTGCTTTTCACTGTCTCTTTAGCTCCACAGTATCTTTTTAAAACATCAGGTCTTACCCTTCCTCTGCACAAAACTGAAGGCTTCCTCACCCCAGGGGGTACACTAATCCCTACTCTTGCAAATTCTCATCCTGACTCCTTTGTTTCTGGTGCTCCTCTGCCCTCTTGTTGTGTGCTGTACAGTTGGAAGTGACCCAGAGCTGACCCTTCACTAGTGATTTTCAAAGGTATTAAACCACATGGAAGTCATCCAGTTCTTCTACCACAGAGCAGCTGGTAGATTCAAACAGTGTGCCTTTGGGATTGCAGTACAGCTTCTTAGGTCCTGTCCTCATACTCTCAGAGAATTTACCCCATCAGATTAATTCAAATACACTAGATTTCAAGTCCCATGGTGGTGTACGGGCTATAGTTTTGGCCACAAGAAGCACTGGCCCCTTAGCAGTGCAGCTCCCACCAGGTCACTACTGGGTCAATTCAACTCACAGCCATCAAACCAACTCAGCACTGACCCTGCAGGGGGGGTTGCTGAGGCTGTAAACTGCAGACGACACTGGCCATCTTTCTCCAGAGGAACTGCCGGAGAAGCAGCAACTTTGGGTTAGCAGCTCAGCTCATTATGTTCCAAGACAGCAGAGCTTCCTACCTGATGAATAATTCACCCAAAACTCAATCTGCCCAGAACCTCAGAATGCGGCCTTATCTGAAAATTATCTTTGCACACAAAACCAGTTTCAGACAAAGTGGCATTAGATGAGGCTGGCCCTAAATTCAGTAACAAGTCAGACATGGGCAGACAGAAGAAAGGTGGACAAGACAGATTAAATGGTGTGCTTGTGAACCAAGGAACACCTAACAGAGGCATGAGAGATTCTCTCTGGGAATCTCCAGAAGGACTGTGGACTTCTAGCTTCTAAGAATAAAATTCTGTCATTTTAAATCACCCAGATCATTTACTACAGAAACCTATCTTAAATAATAGACTCCTGAAGACTTTTTAAAATTTTAGTGATTTGAGCCAATTTCCACAAATTCAGAAGAGGCCTGGTAAAAGATGTTGCCAGTCTTCCCTCTGACCCCTTTCAAGAGGGTTTTATCTGCCAGAGGAACTTCTTGAACGTGCCTGTGAACAATTTCAGGTGCACAGGAAATGAGCTCATCAGAACAAGGGCACCAGCTGAGCCCTCAAGATGTGACTTTCTCTTCTGTCCTTCCTCCTGTCCATATCACCCTTGTCTGAGCTGCCCAAACGCTGCATATCCTTCACTACCTCCAACCACATCTCTCTCCACCCAGCAGCCTGAGGTGCCTTCATAAATGATAGATTCAGTTGCTGTCAACCTCAATTAAGATTCTTCCAGTTTCCTTTCTGAAAGTCAAATCTACATGTCCTAGAACAACAAACGAAGAAGAAAAACCCTATGTGTCTGTCAGCTGTATTAGGACAATCTGGGCAGATCCAGCTTACTGCAGAGACCCTCCAGCTGTTTCCTCATCTGTCGTACCTCTCCTGAGACTGAGTGGAGACATGCACGAGGATACCACACGACCTAATCTTTGTGGAGTAGGGTGCTAAGTATTCAGAGTGGTACTCAAGTGCATAAATGATTAAAAGGACGACTTTATAAGGGAATATGAACTGAGATGAATATAAGAATCAAGAATTCCTTCGCACAATGGAATATTATGCT